GGCCAGGCAGTAGCTGCCACCGGACACACACGCGACCGTGGCACTACTGCTGGCATGTGCCCTGCTGTGGGGCATCCAGTCAGTGGTGGACACCTGGCCAGACACAGGTCAGCTGCTGCCCACCCGGTGCTTTTCAGCGAGCTGGTGGACCCTCTGGCATGGGGGATGTGTGGTAACATGGCTGGGCACAGCCCTGCTCCTGCTCTGGCCCGAAGTGGGGGCTCTCCCATTGCGGGGTACCAGCAGTGGTGCCTGGAGTGGTGCTGGCACCTTGCCCTCCCTCTGGGGATGGTGGTGGCAGCAGCATCCTCTTCCTTAGGCTCCCATGATGAGCAGCTGGCTCCTCCTTGCTGCCCTCACTGTGTTTCTGGGCCCCCCAGCCACCACGGCACAGAAGAGGAACCAAGGTGGGTGCTGAACACGGGGTGTTCATGCTGGGGGGCAGGGGGGCCCAGCACCACCCGGATCTGGTGTCGGTCCATGCTCTGAGCACCGTTGCCTCCTGCCAGCGGTGTGTGAGGACGTGCTGGAGGCCGACATCGCCTTCCTGGTGGACGGCTCGTCCAGCATCGGCAGGGGAAAATTCCGTGCCATCCGTACCTTCATGGAGGAGCTGGTGGAGCCCTTCGTGCAGGCGGTGGGCGAGAAGGCCGTGCGCTTCGCCGTGGCGCAGTACAGCGATGAGCCACGGTGAGCCCTGGGGAGGGGGCCTGTGGGGTGCTGGGCTGGCAGAGCTGAATGGTGACATGTCCTCCCATTCCCCCCAGGGTGGAGTTCTCCTTCTCCCAGCACACTGATGGCGTGAGTGTCCGGAGGGCCATCCAACAGCTGAGCTACAAGGGAGGCAACACTCGGACCGGCGCTGGCTTCCGTTACGTTGCTGACAACTTTTTTGGCCCCATGCAGCTTCGACCTGGGGTCCCCCAGGTACATGCAGGGTGATGGCCCTGGGGACACCTGAGTGGGAGATGCAGCGGGTCTGCAGGACTTGGGCTGGGTCTTACAGCTCTCTCCTGTCCTCACAGGTCTGCATCCTCATCACGGATGGCAAGTCCCAGGACGATGCTGAGGGGCCGGCAGCAAAGCTGAAGAGTCAGGGCATCAAGATCTTCTCTGTGGGTGAGCGAGCCTTTGGCACTGGGTGAGCGGTGCTCCCACTGGGCTCAGGGTCCCTGCCCTCACCCGTCATCTCCATCCCTGCCAGGAGTCAAGAACGCTGACCACAAGGAGCTGATCCGTGTGGCCTCAATGCCCACTGAAGCCTTCTTCTTCTACGTTGGTGACTTCAAGCTGCTGGGGACACTGGTGCCACTGATGACACGCAGGGTGTGCACGAGCGTCGGGGGTACCCTGCGCCCACTGGGTATGGGCCCCCTCCTCCCTGTGGGGTGCAGGTGTACCACCCGCACCTCTCCTCCCCAAAATGCCCTCCTGGCTGTCCTGTTCCGCTGAGCATGTGGCTTTGCTGCCCTGAGAAGCTCTCCTTACCGGCCCACATACCCTGAAGCTGACAGCCCCTGTGCTCCCCTGCAGATGGGCCAAGCCACACTGGCCCTTACCGGATACGGGCGCAAGCAGGGGCCGCTGGCGGGGCTGGGGCAGCCGCTTGTGGCAGAGAGGCAAGAGGTGAGCGCTCCTTGCTGCCTGCCCGGGGTCCCTGAGGGTCCCCACTGGCTGCGCGTGTGGCCTTGAGACAGCAAGGGGATGACGCTGCCCCTTCCTAGGTGAGCCTGGGGCCGCGGGAGACCAGCGCTGTGCTGCAGGGGCTGCGCACGGGGACAGAGTACCTGGTCACTGTCACTGCCCAGTACGCCAACAGCATCGGCGAGTCTGTGTCCAGCCGAGCGCGCACCCGTGAGTGTCCCTGCCCATGGGGATGGGGCAGGGCAGACACTGGGTGCCCATGGGGAAGCAGGCTCATCCCTGGCTCTGTGTACCTCCAGAAAGCCGCACCAGCACCGTGCTGGATTTTCGTGTGGTGGAAACTGGACCAACCTTCCTACGGCTGGCCTGGCAGCCAGGACCTGAGCCCCCCCAGGGCTATGGCCTCAGCTACGCTGTGAAAGGTGAGAGTATGGTCCTGCCTGGGGGCCCTGCCTTTGTGCAGCCCTGTGGGCTGGTGGTGGCAGGGCCTTGCATGGGGGTGCATGCCTGGTGGGGTGTATGTATGTGGGGTACATGCATGGGGGGATGCAGGGGTGTGTTCCAAGAACCCCACAGTGTGTGTGTGGGTACCTTCACTTGCAGTGACCAGTGCTCGTGTGCAGGCTGTGGGGCATGTGTGCGTGGAGGCAGCGTGTGTGCTCCTGCACCCAGAGGTTTTGGTGTTCAGGGTTTGGGGGGTGTGCTTGGGTTCACACAATAGCTGGGGGTGGGTGTGCACCCCCACCTGGGGCTGGGAGTGCAGGGCTGTGTGTGCCCAGAGGTTGTTGCATGTGGGAGGTGGGTGGCAGACCCCTGTCCCAGCCGGGCGCCGGGCTGGAGCCGTGCACCTGGCAGCCTCTCCCTGGCCCCGGGCTCTCCGGTGGGTGCCCCTTTCCTGGCTGCCATCCCAGCCTCTCCCAGCCTCTCCCACCCCTGGCACTAGCTGGCATCCCTGGGGCAGGATGCCGGCCTGTGGACACCCCTTCCCTGCCGGGCATGGCATGTGCCGTGCCCGCTCCCACCCCATGCTTCTCCCCCAGGAGCAGCCCAGGGGGAGGAGAAGAGCCTGGGGGCCAGTGCTCAGTCGGCCACTCTCAGCAACCTGCGCCCTGACACGGAGTACACGGTGACGCTCCGACCCCGACACACACAGCAGCAGCCTGCTGTCCCTGTCACCCTCACTGCCCGGACACGTGAGTACTGTGCCCAGCCCTGGGCACAGCCAGGAACAAGGATGGGATCCCAGCACAGGGAAACCCCCCATGCCCTACTGCCTGGCCTGTTGCTGCTTCGGGGGTGGGGTTGGAGATGGGGGGTGAGCATGACTACAAGGTGATGCTCTGAGCCCCAAAAGGTGTTCCCGAAAGGGGTGCAGTGCTGTGTGCCCACCCAGCTCCTCCAAAGCCTTCTGGGAGAGTTTCCGATGGAGCTTTCCCCACGTGACGCAAAAATGTCAACCAAAAAAATGCAGAGGTTTTTTTTTTAATAAATCCTAGCACCACGCTTGCTGGGAGGAAAGTGCAGCTTCCACGAGGGTGGTGGAAAGAGTCTCTGGGCTGGAGCGGGGGTGAGGCCCTGGGGCAACATCTTTACAAGCCTCAGATTTTGGCAAACTGATTCCTTCAGCTGCCCCAGGCAGCCTTAACCCACAGAAAGTATTTAAGGCATTAAGAGGAAGGTGTCTGAGCTCCAGTTTGCTGAGGCTGGGGTGCTTTGAAGGAGCCACCTGAGCACAGGCTGCACGCAGTGACGTCTGTGTGTTTCAGCATCCGTGAGCAGGGACAAGGGGGCTTTACCCCACCCCCTAGACCAGGCAGGTTTGCAGATGAAGGTGCTTCCTGCTGTCCCCTGCCCTGCTTTCCCATGGGGGCTGCGATGGGTACCTCTCACCTGCAGGGCGTCCTGTGGGTGTGCAGCACCTGGCTGTCCACAACGTCTCAGCACAGAGCATGCTGCTGGCCTGGCAGCCTGTCGGTGGTGCCACTGGCTACCGGCTCTCCTGGGCAACCCTCACAGGTAAGTGCCCATCCCAAGCTTGCACCCCTTCTGCTAGTGGCCCCAGGGAGGAGGGGCAGAAGGGAGATGATAGCACCTGCTGCCTGGACTTCCAAGGACCTGCTGCACCACCTCTTGCAGGGCAGGACAGGCACAGGGTGGACCTGGATGCTGGGAGGACTGCTCCGACCCCGACACACACAGCAGCAGCCTGCTGTCCCTGTCACCCTCACTGCCCGGACACGTGAGTACTGTGCCCAGGCCTGGGCACAGCCAGGAACAAGGATGGGATCCCAGCACAGGGAAACCCCCCATGCCCTACTGCCTGGCCTGTTGCTGCTTCGGGGGTGGGGTTGGAGATGGGGGGTGAGCATGACTACAAGGTGATGCTCTGAGCCCCAAAAGGTGTTACCAGAAGGGGTGCAGTGCTGTGTGCCCACCCAGCTCCTCCAAAGCCTTCTGGGAGAGTTTCCGATGGAGCTTTCCCCACGTGACGCAAAAATGTCAACCAAAAAAATGCAGAGGTTTTTTTTTTAATAAATCCTAGCACCACGCTTGCTGGGAGGAAAGTGCAGCTTCCACGAGGGTGGTGGAAAGAGTCTCTGGGCTGGAGCGGGGGTGAGGCCCTGGGGCAACATCTTTACAAGCCTCAGATTTTGGCAAACTGATTCCTTCAGCTGCCCCAGGCAGCCTTAACCCACAGAAAGTATTTAAGGCATTAAGAGGAAGGTGTCTGAGCTCCAGTTTGCTGAGGCTGGGGTGCTTTGAAGGAGCCACCTGAGCACAGGCTGCACGCAGTGACGTCTGTGTGTTTCAGCATCCGTGAGCAGGGACAAGGGGGCTTTACCCCACCCCCTAGACCAGGCAGGTTTGCAGATGAAGGTGCTTCCTGCTGTCCCCTGCCCTGCTTTCCCATGGGGGCTGCGATGGGTACCTTTCACCTGCAGGGCGTCCTGTGGGTGTGCAGCACCTGGCTGTCCACAACGTCTCAGCACAGAGCATGCTGCTGGCCTGGCAGCCTGTCGGTGGTGCCACTGGCTACCGGCTCTCCTGGGCAACCCTCACAGGTAAGTGCCCATCCCAAGCTTGCACCCCTTCTGCTAGTGGCCCCAGGGAGGAGGGGCAGAAGGGAGATGATAGCACCTGCTGCCTGGACTTCCAAGGACCTGCTGCACCACCTCTTGCAGGGCAGGACAGGCACAGGGTGGACCTGGATGCTGGGAGGACTTCACACGCACTGGGGGGGCTGCAGCCCCACACTGACTACGTGGTGAGGGTGGCCCCACTCTTTGGGCAGCTGGAGGGGCCCGTGGCCACTGTCCAGCAGAGGACGGGTAGGTGGCAGGTACGGGTGATGCCATCCCACTGCTGGCCTCTGGCTCTCCCCACCGTGCTGTGTGTGGGGACCAAGGACATGCTGGTGGCAGAGCAGTGTGGGGCAGTCTGACCCACAGGATCCCTCTTGCAGAGGCAGCTGGGGAGCAGACACTGCGGACCAACATCCTAGGCCCCACGTCCATCCAGGTGCTCTGGACCAGCACCCGTGATTCCCGTGGCTACCGCCTGGAGTGGAAGAGAGCCACAGGTAGGCTTGGGGTGCCCCTTGTCCCCCACAGACTCCCTGTGCCAGCAACTGGTGGTGACCTTCTGCTCCTTGCAGGACCAGAGCCCCCCAGGACAGTATCACTCCCCAGCAGTGCCAACACCTACCAGCTGACAGGGCTGCAGCCGGGCACTGAGTACCGCATCACCCTCTACACTCTCTACGATGGTGGGGAGGTGGCCACCCCTGTCACCACCTTCCAGACAGGTGAGTGATGGCTATTGGTCCCTCCTAAGCCATGGAGATGGAGGCAAATCCCATGTGGCAATGCTCACCCTGACGTCCCCCTTGACCTGCAGCTCTCTGGCTATGGCCCAGGCTGAGAATGGGGGCTGTGCTGTCCAGGCTGTGTGGCTCCAGCTGTGCTGCTCCAGCTGTGCCTCACCATGTCCCCTTGCAGGTGTGGATGTGCCCGTGGGCACCGTGTCAGACCTGCGGTTCGTTGAGGAGTCGGGCAGGCAGGTGCGGCTGGTCTGGACCGGCGTCCCTGGTGCCACTGAGTACAAAGTGGTGGTGCGCAACAACCAGGGTGAGTCTGCAGGAACGGGTGGCACCTGGGGGACCCTGGCCAGCTGGCGCCAGGGGTCCACAGCTGTTCCCCTCCTGGCAGATGGTACAGAGAGGACAAGGCGTGTCCCGGGCAGGCAGACATGGCTGGAGCTGGGTGACCTGCAGGAGGGCATCACCTACCTGGTGCGTGTCTCGGCACTAGTGGGTGGCCGGGAGGGCAGTGCTGCCACACTCACCCTCCGCCTCAGTAAGTCCATCTCAGCGTTTGGGTCCAGGGCTCCTGGTACTCTGTTATCCTTCCTTGTGTGCATTTGTCCTCTATCCCTCCCACAAGCCCTTGGGGTGCTGGGGTGGCCATGGGGCCCCTCTGGTGACGCCGCGGTGCTGTGGGTGGTGCAGAGTACCCAGTGGTAGGCAGCATCTCAGAGCTGCGGGTGACGGAGGGCAGGCCCAGCCC